GTACGTAATAATGCCCTTACTCCCAGGAGCTGCCAACCAAGCAATGCCAGCAGCACGCGTAGGCGACAAGTGGGAAGCTGCCATCAACGCACGCACTCTCATGATGAGCGGATCTCGTGTGTATTTCTATTCTGTCCATCAAGGTACGGCAGCGACTACAATTGCTGTATTCAGAGTGGTGTACGGAGGCTTGCAGCTCCAAGTCTTGGCTTGCGGGCTTGGCCGGCCAACTGGGGTAAAGGCTGGGGATTTTTGTTTCTTCCAAGTTCCCCCTCGCAACCCAAAACGTCAGTCAGACTGGGTGAGTGAGTGATAACGATTTGCTGTCGCAGCTGGGAGTCTTTACGGATACAGTTCGCCGACTTGATGAAGGAAAAGAGCCCACTGGGACAAATGGGGCTCCTTTCCTAGCCGGTGAGGCTGTGTTCGCTGATGCTCGTCTTCCTGTTGGTTTTTGCCGGCGGGCTCGGCTCGGGTGTTGCGAGCCCTGCGGTTGCAGTTGTCTTTGCTCTTGCACCCACAGTTCTTTTCTACCCCCTCCCTGTTTGCTTGCGACCTTCTCAATTGAGATGGCGGTCACTTCAACTTTGTGTGGTTGGCCGGTACCTGGACCTCGATTAGAAATGGCCCAGAAGATGCCGTCTTTGCCGTGAACCCCCAGCTTCCTCGGGCGTCGAGAATCTAAAGAGGGGAAATCTTGCCGTTGGGTTGTATTATTCTCCGGCGCGCGTGTTCTAGGTCGTAGTCTCGCAGAGCGGCATGCTGTCATCACTGCTTTCAAAGTAGTTCTTTGTACGTATCCGTACGGAGCATGCCTCCATCCTTGTAGTGGTAGCATATGGAACCCAAAGTGTGAGTGGGCTGGGATTCTGTGCGCAGGTGGCCAGACCTCACCGCGCTTGTTTTTGCGAGGGGTTGCAACAGTCCGTTAGCTAGCATGCAAACAGTTTTGCTGACCGATGATCATAGAGCCAGGATGAAGATGTTCAAGTAGCAGATAGGGAACTGCCGGCGATAATCAAAGATCAGCACCTTGGAGAGCGGCTAGACAGTGGGGATTATTTGGAGATTTCCGTCGTCAACTCTTGTTTAGGAAAGAATACGTCTTTCGAGGTTGGGTTTTGTCGTTGTTGGTGACTGGCGAGTGCTTCTAGAAGATTGCCTCTTCCAAGGTAGAGTGGCATGGAACAAATTGGCGTCAGAATCAACGTCCTATCTCCTCGACGATAACGAAACGTTTGCTTCACGTCGACAAACGAGGCCAGTCTAGCAAAACAGGGCAGGGCGAACGTTCAGCAGCAGCCAGCTGGAAGACGGGGCGTGAGCTGTGGTGCGGGAATGGCGTCCACTCAAGCTTTCCAAGGAAATTCCAAGAGATTGGGCGAAGCCGCTAGAAGCAGAAACGGGCGGCCGGGTTCGGGGGGCGTGTCTGCGTGGTGGTATTGGCCTGGCCTGCAACAGACTAATACCTCCATACCAGTCCGCCATCAGTGATACGTGACGTTTGCTTGACAGGCCCCGAAAGCACCATGTTCGTCCGTGGAGAAAGAAAAAAAATTACGAACACTGGCATAGAAGGGAGGGCGCGCGACGTTCGAGTCGCGACTGGCGCCCCCATGGTCAAAACCTGACTTCGTGGCGTGCCGGAGGACATCCGAAGGGCGTTTTCTGGGGAACGGGGGATCTGGAGACGGTCCCTATCCTGGCAGGCATGGCGTGATGGATGGGGTAAACTGGCATTGTCAAACGGCTGGCTCAACGATTGTCCCGAGTCTGACGGGCCGGATGTCGCGGAGAGTGCTCCGTTCTGTAATTTGTGGTGAGGCAGAGCGTATTGCGCATGATGGTCGCAATATGGGAAAACGGCGCCATTGAGGCACCAGGACCGAAGCGAAAACTCTGCTCCAAAGGCAGCAGCACAGTATACGAGGCGCCTGTGCAAAAGTTCGATGTCTTTTACCCAAAGTTGCACGGCTGGTGCTTGGCTTGAAATGTTCTGTAGGCTGGCAGCTGGCTGACCAACGACAGGCGATGAACCAGGGGCTGTACTCAAGTTAGTGTCAGCAAAAGGGAACGGCTGAGTGGGATCCGCTCGCAAAAGATCCTTTGGACTTTTGCCAATAATCGGGCGTTCATCCAAACGGACACTCCGCCCTGCGTAATCGCAGACTGCAGTAGGACAAGCGCTCAAGCGAGGAGAGGCGAGTGTGTGCGCGAGGGTGGCAGGTGGTTCGGGCCAGCCGCCGCTCTTGGCATTTGCCGTTCCTCGTTTCGTTTATGCACCACTCTTCCCGTCAAAAGCCCAGGCCAGCAAACAGCACTGGTGTGTGAGTGTCCCGTCGCCGTCAATGTTTCGGGTGGGCGTACGCGGATATAGGTAGTGTACGGTAAGGTAGGTACTTTGTTGTAGGTTTAAGGACACACTAGTGGCTGCCTCCGTTTCAGCGGACGAGATTCAAGCCGTGGACACGGACAGTCGTCTTTCGGCCGATTCGAGAGTCCAAGCCACTTGAGGACGGGATCGCCATGTGCATCGAGCTTGGCCGCGCTCCCGTTCTGCTGCTAGGCAGTGCTAACCCTCCATTGACGTCCATTCATGACTTGCAGTGCAGAGCCAAGGAATCCCGAGCCAGCAAAAACGGTGACGGCGGCGGGCGGCGGCGGCGGCGGAAAGAAAGGGAAAATTAATGGAAGGGGAGGCCATGGCAGGCAATTCGAACGTTGAGGGGGGATAGCATGGCGACATGGATTATGGAGAAATGCTTGATTGCGCGGCCGGATAGCAGAGAGAATGGTAGAGACTGGGGGATGGTCAGTGGACGACGAGGGTAGAATCGGGCACAGTGGCGGATATCTGACCTGTTTCGTCCTGGTCTTGGCCTTTGGCGTTGGTCTGGGTCTCGAGAGAAAATGTGTGTGTGTGTGTGTGTGTGTGTGTGGTGTGAGTGTGTGGGCGGCGTTGGGTGCATGAAAGCTAGCGGTGGTTGTGCTGCGTGGTATGGCATGTTTTAGCATGGGCATGTTGGCGGCCATGCCGTTCATCCCATCTGATTGTATGTATGCGTACGAAGTATCCTATTGGAATAATAACTCATTCGCAGTTGTTCAGACGATTCTTTTGGGAATGGCATCCGTGGCTGCATCACCGTCTTGCCTGACAGTCCTCGGTTTGCAGTCAAAGCCTTCTGTTCAGTCGCGCGAGAGCAAACTGCGAATATACACAAGAAAACGAATGCTGGGAGTGACGGTGAGAAACGTTTGGTTTGCTGCCGTACGGAGTACAGAGTATTACTGTGTAACGTTCTGATATCCGACACCCCCGTTGTAGATCCACTTGACATTTACCTTAGAATTTACCTTAAACCAAGGTGGACTCGGTTTACGAAGCTCAGTGCTCCACAACCAGTCAGCAAGTAGCAGTTGCCGACAAAGTTCCGTTCTGTCTATATCCGAAAAATGCCAGAGATTGAATGACGCGGACATGGCATGCAAAGGGCCTCCTCACAGAGTCTACCTTCCTCTGTTGGAAGACTAGAGAGACGCTGTTGCCGGAGTTGAAGCCAAGTTGCGACGGTCTGACCTGGCCTTACCTTGATGAGCACAGGTGCAATATGGCGGATACTATCTGCCTGCCCAGTGGTTGTGAGAAAGTTGAGCAAGAAAAAAGGTCAAGGAGCAAGTCTCGGTATTAGTGTTAGTATTAGCCTAGTATGCGTGTTGGGACCTGGGTGTGTTAAGGTCGGGTCGCGTCCGACTCAAGCGGTGGGAACTTGGGAACAACTTTTACTTGAGTGCTTGAGAATGGAAGTTGACGGGAGACTGAGAATGGAGGCAGGTACGGAAGGAGGGTCCACGCCGGCCTAGGCCCCCGCCTTTCTGTGCCGTAATGCCGTAATTGGTGCCATTGGGAGAAGCATCCATTCAGCTGACCTTCCGTGGTGGCTTCCATTTGGTACTTTGTCGGCAACTTGTGGAGGGCAGGTACGTCCAAGGGTGAAACGGAGGATGGGATTCGCTAGGTAGGCACCTACCTTATGCTCAAACTTTTGCATTTACCTTCCTTCCTTCCATGCCTTCATAAGATACCTCAATACTTTGCCGAGGAGACAGGTTGATACTCGGCAGAATTCGAGCACTTCGTAAGGTACCCGGGCATTCTCACGCTGCGACTCTTCCTTCTAGGTACCTACCTTGCCTTACCCTACCTTGGTATTCGGACCATGGTAAGGTACCTTATGTAGTACACTGGTACTTTAGGTCACCAACTTCCTTCCCGTCTGGTCCTTGCTTGCCTGCCCGGCATCAATCTAGAATGTTGGAGACGAGGCGCCATTCCTTGCATCAGATAGACACATTGCGTCTGGAGCTTTGCGCCTTCACCGACCACTTGTTCCTTTTTTTTTTTTTTTTTGCTTCTCTTCTCTCACCTGCTTGACTTCGCAGCGGACAGGCAGTGTCAAGCAGTATTGCAAGCGCCCGCTGTGCTATGGCGGCCAATCTCCAAGGTTGCAATGCAAATGACAATGCCAGAGGACGTTGGCGGCTGGCCTACGGGGTACCCAGCCTCTGTCTTCTCGTCTCCAAATACAAAGATACCCTGCCGTCCTGCTGGGTCTAGGCACAACGGGAGGTAGCATTGCCATTACCGTCCTGCAAAAGATCAAAAGATGGAAAGAAAATGCTGGGTGGTCTACTAGCAGTCTAGCACAGGGCCACCGCAGGTCGACTTGGTCAAGGGGGGGAAAAAAAAAGTACCTCGAGTCCGCGCCACCCCGGTCGTCGCATGTCTTTCACCTCCCCAAACAGGTTAGATCTGTCTACAAAAGGCCTCGGTCCACTCGGCGCTGTTCTTGCTTCCCACATCCACCACTGACCGGGACCACCACATTTGCATGGAAGGTCCAGTTGAGTTGTGGTCCTTTTCTATTTTCCTACCACCGTACTCTGTACTGCGTACTCCGTACAGTACTCCGTAGGTTAGGTTGCGGCTTGCTAAACGGATGAACTGCTGGCTATTCACCACTCAGGTTTCAAGAATTACTCGTGGACCACTCATCACTGCCCGCTGGGTGTTCGTCTTGACGATCATCGGCACCGAACTCGCCCTAATTCGAGCCTGCCATTTGCTTCAAGGCCGGTTCCTTGTCCCTATTCTGGATTCACACGACCACCCTGCCGCTTTCATCCCCCTCGTTTGTCTGCCCCTGTTCTGCTGCCGACCTGCCACGCCTGCCTCAACTTTTCAAGCCGACGGTCTGCGTTTCCGTTCGCTAGCCGCCGCTGCTATTGCTACTGCTATTGCTACTGCTGCTGCTACTGCTACTGCTACTGCTCACCCCTCTCTGAATGGAATACCACACTTTACAATAGTACGGTAGAAGCGCCAAACTGCAAATCATCAATCTTGCAATCCCACAAAGAGTCTGCCCATTCGTCAAAATCGCGCCGAGGCATCAAGGGTACGCGTACCAAGTACGGATATCGCTGCATCGCATTGAGTCCTGAACTCCTGGTACTGGACCGACCGTGACGGATACGTACCTTCGGATCATTAATTGAATCGTACCTTGGCTGATCGAAAGGTGCTCCGTACTGAACACTACGGATACGTCCACACCTACCGCCCGGCCAGAATCCGAGCCTCCATCTCTCTCCTCTTCTCTCTCCAATTCTCCATTATCGAATCACCCAATACCTACTCCGTACCTGCAAAAATCCAAAAATCCCGACAGGGACCGATTGTAGCGCGCACTTCGACCTTTTGAAGTTCGAAAAGAAAGCGGGAAAAAGACAACCCCGTTTTACCCTTCGTAACTTGGACTTCATCTCGAGGAGCCAACGGTGAACCCCGTACGAATACTGCGTACCGTTCTTTTAAACTTGGGGTCCTGTTCCGTTCGACACACGCCTCCACACCCATCAACCAGGTTCCATCCGTCCATCCATCCTTCTCTGATCACCACAAGTCGCGCGGTGGCGCCCCCCGGAACACACCAATTACCATACATGGTCTTCATTCACCTCTGGTTTCTGTTACCCTATTCTTTCGCCATATCACGCCGTCCTTGTCAGCTACGCAACCACGTTCCCACCCGCCGCTCTTCAACGAGCCCTGTCCTGGCCTGACCCGACGTCCGATGCGCATGAGATCCGCCCCCAGAGCCAAGTCCCCCTTGCGGCCCTGGTCCTTCAACACAGACGTACTGCCCTTGCTGCGCGGTCCCGGACATCGTCTTCAACCTCTCACGCCTCTTCGGCCCTGCACGGGAATCGGTTCCCTCATATCCGGGTTGCACTGCTTTCATCATCGGGCTTCCTATTCAGTCCAACCTTGTTAAGCGGCTCTTCTTTGCGCTGGCACCACCCGATGACTCGACGCCTCCCGTTTCGCTTCACTCCTCCCGCCAGCCCGTTGCAACCTTGACCTCCCATCCCATCTCGTCTCCTTCCTCCACCTCCTCCTGACCTCCCCCATCTGTGTTTCCTGCGCTTGCTTGTCGTGCTTGTCTCGCACCTCGCTCGCTCCAGGAACCGGATTCTAGTCCTACGCCCGGTCATTGGAACCAGGCCTATTACTTGGACCCGTCGCTCATTGCCACCGCTTTCTCGCTTCTCGGCACATCACTCCATCCTTCATCCACCTTCTCACCACGACACACACACACACACACACCACCGAGGTCTCCAGTCCTTCTCCATACCTACGCATTCGTACCTGACTGGACCTAATCCACTCCCCGATCTCATCTCATCTACCGGTCTCGTCCCAGGACCCCTTTGCATTTGTTTTACGTTACTCTGCCCCGTGTGGCCCTAAGAAAGAGCCGCCGACAAAAGGCCCTCACCATGAAGTTTTGCGGGTCAGCATAACCCCCGGGCCAAGCACATCTCGTGAATCCCTCGCTCCAGGGAATCCGTCCGAGACAGACGCACGGGAACGGGCCTCTGCCTCCGCTGCCACCCGCCGCATGGTGGTCCTGGCCTGACACGACTCGTCTGTTGCCGGCTCACTCGTCTCCTGTCATATAAAACCTCATCTGCCCCATGGATCCCCGCAGCGAGGATGGCGGAAATGGACCATCTAATACCGCTGCGCAGCCGCCGCCTCTCCGGCGGCGACTATCGATGGAGGAGGACTATTTCTACCAGGAAGTCATGACTTCCCCATTCCGACGACCATCACAGCCGCCACCATATGAGCGGGATGCTAGACCAAGACGACCGGTGGCACCCAAGATCAACTCCCAACATGGAGTCGGGGAGGACTTGCCAGGCTATTCGTGCGACATCGAGTTGGAGGGCGTATGGGTGAAGAAGATGGAAATTGAAAACACCACCAAACGGGCAGAGGACAGAAATTGGCACACCACTATCGTACAATTACGAGGTACTGCATTGAATTTTTACAACGTGAAGAAGGATTGGGGATGGGGCAGGACAAGAGACGGACCGACCATCTCGCCCGACAACCCGCCGTGGGTGAGAAAGGCCTCTCTCGACAGGGCATACAGTCTTCAGCACGCCGATATTGGCATTGCTGCCGATTACAAGAAGTAGGTTGCCTCGATTCTCAGCCTCATTATATGCCAAGACCTGCCAAGAAACTGACTCCTACCTAGGAGGCGATATGTCATTCGTGTCAGGGCCGAGGAGGATCAGTTCCTTCTATCATGTATAGAATTAAGCACCATGGTCAGGTGGTTAGAGGCTCTCTTCGCCGCCATCGATGTTGCCGCTCCGATCGACGACCGTGACTATCCCCGCGACCAAAGCATTCCCCGCATCCAACGCATCCGCTGGTTCCGTGGCCAGACACCAGCACCGACGAACAATTACCCCGTACCGACGCCAAGACCACTGAGTCCTGAACTCCGCCGCGTGGTTTCTGCCGAGGCACCAGACCCCTTCCCAGCATCATCGACAATAGAGGGTCTCGTTCACCAGGCCGTCGTCAATGAGCGCGGCGGCGAGACCAACGTGTTAGACAGCGAGTCTATATACGGCCCCGGACCCGCGAGGAACGAGCCGATCAGCAGCCGCTTGTCGACGACATCGTACCCCAACGAGGCCATCGACCCTGACACCGGAAAATGGGCGCCTGAGCACCAATGGAGTGCGGCTCACGATCTGCTTTACGCCAAGCTTTGCTACTCTGTTCTCTTGTTCAAGAGCCCCCGAAAGTCAAACTACATCATCAGCAAGGGGAGGCGATGGTTCGTGGACTGGGCAACAGGTCGTATGGTGCGCGTACTGCCGCCAGCCTACGGCGAGATCGACTTCTTCGGCCCTTGGCAAGTCATCCACACAGAAAACAGGAGGATTTAAGATGGATCATTGTTTCTCCCTCACTTCTACTGCACATATACATACCACCTGCCCTCGTCAACGACGGGGGCCTTTCTTTCGCATTGACACGAGGAAGAATCGCAAGATTCGAATGATACGGAATTTACCATACATACCCCAGAGGCTGGGGAGCGGTCAGTCGGTCGGTACGGCGGCCAAAACAAAAATCGGGCGGGACGGCGCGGCATATGCATTCGGTTGGCTCTTTCTCTTTCTACTTCACCTCGATTTCTCTCAACTTATCCTCAGTCTCCTTTGTCTTTCATGGCGGGCGAGAGAGCGAGAGCATAGCTTTGCGCCAAGCATATCATCATTGGGCGGAGTTGTCAAGGGCAGCGGCAATATCCGCGACCCTCATTTCATTTTGTCCTTCTGCTTTTTGTAGCATGGAGTATTCAGAGCTGGCATTGCGAAAGCCTTGGCAGCGAGCATATTCGTTGACAAGGGAGGTTTCTAAAAACTTCTATTCGTCATGACTGAGGCTTAGCCTGGTCGACTTGAATATACTGAACGTTAACAGCATATCTTCAACTGAATGTACAACTAAGGCCGTGTTTGGCAAGTCAGTGGCCCATGACGAGTAAAATGAATGTGACCTGAATCCAAGTTATTTGCAACCTGTTGACTGTCTTCATACTTCAATGCCACAATAAGGAGAGTCAAGCTTGATATGAATCAACAAAGCCAATCAATGGCCTACATAAATCAAAAGGGTATCTCATGCATTGGGAAGAGCAGTCATGTCTACTACCATACTCCAACATTCGTCCACAACCACACATCACCTTGAATCCGTCCATTGCTAGCTTATGTACGATTATCGTAACCTGTCCCCTTTCTCGCCTTCCCTCCCTCTCTTTCTGTCTCATACTCTTCACATACCCGCCATCTCCACCTCGGAAGCCCGCGCCTCGGCGGCCAGCTCGGGCGCAACGTCTACGAGCAGGGCGTTTGCGCCGTCGATATCGGCGACCTGACTCTCGAGCTGGGCAAGGAGGGCATCGATTTCTGCGCGCTGGGATTGGATAGAGGTGAAGAGGGACTCGTTGGAGGCCTGGGTGTTTTGGAGGCGAGCGTTGAGGGTCGATTGTTGCGGGGCGAGGCGCGGGGCGAGGTGGGCTGTTAGGATTTCGTCAGGGGGTAGGACGTGTGGTCTGTTGGTTTTTTTGGTGTTAGTTTCTTAGGTGTCCCTAGTGTATAGGGGTATCGAGAATGAGGGTAGAGGTGACGAACGGGATGGGCTCTTCGACGTCGCCGCCTTCTTGTCTCCTGCGATCCGCGTCGCTGACGAGGTTTTCTAACTCGTTTAGTTTACGGATGACGTCGCGGTCGGCGAGGATCGATTGGAAGTCTTTCTATATTAGGGGGTCAAGTACTATTAGCATGTGGTTCTGCTCCCTCTGTCCTCCCTCGGTGGGGAAGGGGGAAGAAGACAAGACGGCCCCAAACGTACATTACACCTCTCCTCTAGGTAATCCACCATTTGCTTCTGGACGTTGCGCAGAGTATTCGGCGCGTGGGCGGCGACGGTGGGGAAGCACGAGGCAAAGTTGTCGTAGTTTACTTTGCGGAGTGTGCTGGCGAGGGCGCCGTCGTAGAGCTGGATGAAGCGTCCCGCGCGGGGGCCGGGTGTCGCGGGGGTATGTTTTTGGGGGAGAGGAGGGGAGGCGGGCGGTTGTGACTGTTGTGTTGATTCTTGTGGTTGTTGTTGTTGTTGTGATAATTGTGTTGTCGCGGGGTTCGCTTCTGGTGCTGCCGCTGCCGTTGTTGATGTTGCTGATGCGCCGCCGGCGGGGTGCGCTTCGTTCTCGGCGTGGTTTTGGACTGCGTGATCTTGCGATTGAATCTGTGATGATGATTCCTTTATCGATTGCGAGGGTTGTGACTGGTCTTGGTCGGAGGCGGACATTTTGGGAAGAAGGGGCGGGGTTTGTGGGTGATGGATTTGTGGGTGATGATGGATTTGTTGCTTAGATGAGTTCGCAATGCGATGGGATGCGATGCGATTCCGGCGGTGGTGATTAAGTGAAGATTAGCGGCTGGGATGTCTCTGGCGACGAGACGTGACGCGTCTGTGGTTCAAGGTACTTTAGTGGGGGTGGGCACAGTCAGACTGGCGCGAAGTTGACAGGAGGTTCACGTGCTTAGGCTTGGGCCATTTTATGGTTTTATTCCCCTTGATGGTGGGATGAACGCCGCCAAGACAAACAAATGCGAGCGATTCCGGCCAGCCGGTTGGTTTGGTTCCTGGTAAGCCTTGGCGTGGGGACTTTTTTGGCGCCTTGCCGTTTTGTGTTCTTGTCCGTTTGGGGAAAGTCAATTCAACCTCAGGGCTTCTTTTCATCTTGGTGTTTTGAACGACAGCTGCCAGTAAATCATTTCAGGAACGCAAACCTGCTTTTCCTCCCGTCATCTTGTCTCTAACACCATTCTTTTGAAACTTGCAAGCCGTCCCGAGACTATATTTCTCCAACACCAATGATCCTAGTCTACTTTGCGTCTACGGAATTGGGCGTGAGAGTGAGTCTTGAATGGTAAACTCTGCTCATCCAAATCAGATCATCGCGCGTTCAGGTAGTGCTGAGAACAGACTAAAAATTACAAATGTTGAATCCCTCGACTCCTTATTATCGGTGAGGCAGTGCTAGAAAGCTGATTATCCAGCATCCAGGCTCCAAGTCGACCTACCTCATTAAGCCCTGCAGCCAAAAGTCAGCGGGGCATCTTCATCGACGACCCTCGATGCTACTCAACTCACTATTCCTAGCACCGTGACGGAAAGTGACGATCAAAGATCTGGAATGCAATGCTTAATTTAGCAGCACGCCTTTTTACGAAACGGTAGCATGAAGGACTAGTTCGTTGACTCCTTGCTATACGAAGAAGTCTCGAAGCGCCCCCCGCGGCCCCCGCCCTGGGCACCTGTCGGAGTGCTATTGCAGTCCGAGCAACGAAAGCAACTTACACGAACAATTCTCCGAGGAAACATACTTCGGTCTGGTCCATGAACCATCATCGACTGGAAACCACCATGAAGGGGGCTCGTTTCATGTGGTGCACTACACAGCTCATCGCGCCGCTCAATGTGTTTTCAAAAGAAGCACCTGAGGCGTGAAATGTCTACTCTCCTTCCCCAGCTGTATCATCTGATAGTTGTTCTGACCTGGCGCCTCATGAATACGCCCCTTAAGAAGCCGGTCCCATCCATTCATGACATGAAAAGCTAAGCATCTCATCTCATGTCGTTCTCCCGCCCCCTGAGTTCGGCACGTCAAGCCGGTATGGAAGTCCGCATGGCGAGCGAGCAACTACAACCGAGAACCGCACGCCAAAGACTAAAGCTGCTTCGCCTCTTTCGGGTTCCTCGGGGCATGACTTTCATTTGTTTGGTTTTCCAAAGCCGGTCTAGGTCGTCCTGGTGACCCGCTCCGAGGAGTTATCATTTTGTAACTTGCGTGAAGCTTGAACAAGCTTCATACAGTACCACCATAGCCCCGATCGATCGATAGAGCGCTGCTATCCAGGATAGTTTGAGATCTGAAGACTATGTCAAAAACATGTAGATGTTTCCTGATTCGAGGAGACAAAATTAGGCAGACACTTCCGGTGGGATTCCGTATCCAAGAGAATAGAGAACGGCGTCATGATCAGCCTTCATCATTTGCAAGGCACGGCGTTAAAGCCCCTTTTGGTGTTATCTGAACAGTTGTGTTATTCACGGGGTTTATTTTTAGATGCGGTAAGTACTGTTGTTGGTCAACTCAAGATATGCTTCTTGGTGCGGTAAGACATTGTCCTTCTCTTTGTCTAAATATCATATAAGACCCCAAACGAAGTCTATCTTCAGATTTAGATTTCCCTTTACATCTCTCACAGCCTCAGAACCTAAAGACCACCAAGAGCTATATACAGATCCATCTCAACGACAACATAAACCTCTCAAACAACGCAACCAACTTCGTTTCAAGCTCACCAGCCTAACATGCGCTTCTCCCTCACCGCACTCCTTGCTATGGCAACAGTGGCCCAGGTAACACCGCCCTAAGCCTCTGCCACTCTACCTGGACTAGTTTCCAGCAGAATAAGTAAGCTGACAATTCTTACTGCCATAGGCCACCACTACACCCCCGGCCAGCACGACCACGGGCGCTGTCAACGCCACTGCCGCAAAAGGCAAGTCGGCCTCGGTAACAGCCTCGCACTCGACTCCGGCTACTCACAGCACCAGCACCAAGAACGCCGGCCCAAAGGAGACTGCGGCTATTGCCCTTGGCGTCATGGTTGGCGGGATGGGCCTTGCTGTCAACCTTTGAGGGAAAACGCTGTCAAGAGTTCGGCTTCGATTTACCTTTGAGGTTGCGAAGTATCTCCGGGTCAAGTTCAAAGGAATTTTCGTTTATTGGGCAAACCAAAGGAATACCCGAAGGAGAGAGAGGGGTGTGGACATTTGGGATATTATTCAGATGTCTAACAGACACGACTTTTGCTTGCGCGTGAATTCAGATCTAGGAGTCAACCAATCAACCATATTATTGTCGTGCTACTAACAGACATTCTTGGGGGGGACATGGCTCCCCGCGAGAAATCTGGGTGTTTGATGCAGGTGCGAACCTTTGGTAGATGAGAAAAGGGAAGGTCATTCAGCGCCAGAACTTATCTATATTCTGTGATTTTAAGGGAGCTGAAAGCGTGATCTTACCTAGGTACCTACCTCATGCAATTTCCTATTCTGCCGTCTCCAACGTCGCCTCCAAGTCATCGCCCAGGCTGAAGTAAACCGATTCAACCAACCCTGATCAGAACTTATACCAAGTTTTGAGCCAATGAACCGCCAGTCCACTCTTTACCAATCCCCTGAACCTCCCAAGGTGTCTTTGGTTGTCAGATGTTAGCAGAGCGTCGAATGGGTGAGCCAGACCACCGTCCTCCAACGTCCTAAGGCCAACCCGGCTACCGACATCAAAACTGCACAAAATGTCAAAAACATACAACACCAGGTATTCGCTGGTCGTCACCGACCCAACTACTAATCCGGCCCTCATTGGCTTATCTATGGGAGAGCGGACGGGATCCCGAGTTCTCCAATGGGTATGGTCGTATGTGATGGCCATTAGTGAGAATTGGGATCATTAAGGCTGAATGTTTGACATCTGAGGGGAAGACCCGGGCTTGAAGCGCACGCGACAACTTTGCAAGACAAATAAGAGACGCTATATAATATGTGTCTAGCCACTGATACCTAGTCTTATTGATTCTAGGACCGAAGGGTAAGGCCGAATGGAGTGGGCTCATAGTAGAATAACCACCGGCGGCTTGGCCCAAACCCTAACACGGAGTATCTCATAGGCCCAAAGATTTACGCGTGATTCTATACTTTGGGTATGAGCTAGATACTAAAGTGACTTTGTATCAAGTTGCCATTCCTGTGTTGCTTGCTAGGCTTTCTGAAAGGCCATTCGCCCGCTCCGTCCAGCGCGGCTTGGTGATTCAGGGGCGAAGAACCAGATGTCTGGCCTCCTTGGCGACTTGGGAAATCGTCGGGCCAAGATTCACTTTCATGTGTTAGCAAGAAGATACAGTCAAATACTGGCAAAGCACTTATTCCACCGCCTTTTTACCTTTTCCAAAACTCCGCGCACGTTAACACTAACAAGGTACACCTTCTCCTTCTATTCCCAAATATTATACACATATCGCATATTCATTTTACCACCTTATTGTATTCCTTTACTTCCAAGAGTGGTGAGATGCGGTAAAACGAGCTAGCTGTACCCAAAAGAGTAGCAGCACTGGCAGTGAGTATGGCTGGGGCTATTCGAGCGACACGCGTTCCTCAATGAGTAGAAACATATCTATAGGGGGTAGATCTCAGAACCTTCTACTAGATAACGAAGAGGAGGTTTCATAATGCTGTGACTAGGCAAAGCTCAAAACAAAAAGAGGTCCCCACCGGTGTGGCTGCATCTCTTGGCGGGTATTATGGTGTTCATGCTGGGATCGTATGCGAACTCGAACTCGGAGCCTGTCGATTAGGCTGAAGGGGTGATTAATTGTTGACCTTTAACCACTCCACCACCTAGCCAGTTTGTCCTGACCAACCGACCTAGGAATACGCCTGCTATGCTGGTGACAGGAATGGACTTGAGGGGGTATGTGAAGGCTTGTTGTGTGTATTCGGGTGGGGTGGGGAAAGGGTGTCGAATGAAAACTCGTTTCCCATGGCGAATTGTTCTCAGAGAAGGGGTATTGTGCACCTGATACATTTTGATTCAGGACTTGTGAAAATACGGAGTGAGCCGCGATGGCGTATAACCCTCCTGAATATGTGGGCGGGTATAACCGTGAGAGGGCTTTCCTCAAACTACTTATTATAATTGCAGATGTAGGCATGTATCCCTTGGCGAATTTCTCGAAGGAGCGCTATCCTGCACATACTTCCCAAAAACTTGCTAACCTGTTTAGAGGGGGATTTATTTCACAGATAGTGTAGTATGGATCTACTTCACCACTTGCGTAGTCGAGCAAAATATATGCGCCTACCTTAGCATCTGAACGTCAAGATGTGGCAACATGAAGGAGGGAACATAACGGACCATGGCCAAGGCACATGGAATGGCTGTACTTTGAGCAAAACATACCACTAAATGGGCCAAGTCACTGAATGTCGCCTGCAGCTATTTCTGTCGTCCTATCCAGGCTTATGATCGGTGCCTTTCTCGGAACCAAAATCTTGACAAGGCATCCTTGGCAGCATTCAACAGCTCCAACCCGGGCATGAGAAGTAATTGCAGGCAAAATCATGAAGGACCGGATTGTAGGCATTATCCGGATCGCACCGAATGCGTGCTTCCGGTTCCCAGCTTCGGGCTTGGAGCAGCCTCCCCCCCCCCCCCCCCCCCCCCCCACTCGTATGCTCCTTCACTGATTGATTCAAAGCTAATATACCTAAAGAGCCGACCCAATCGATCATCAGACCCCTGGTGTAGCAGGAGGCGAGGCCGTTGGTGCTAACACTTCCAAAAGAACGGAGTTCCGACTAGGGTCTGTGAGCTCTCCAATGATAAAGATGTTGTCTGACTGGAGATTGAGATTCCTTCGGTGCTGGATGGAGACAACACAGACGGCAGAGAGGTGTTTGGACTGCTTATTGAGGCTTGCGCCGTGGTTGTGGGAGGAAGCAAGGCGGAAGTTGAACCTGGCGACAGAGGGGCAGGCGTGCTCTGTGGTGTGTTACTAGCAAGGCTGGGTGGGCTGCTGAAAAAGGTTGTAGACGAAGGATTGGGCAAAACAGTGCTTGTTGAACTAGCCGATAATGTTTCGTTTCGCCATACTCCGGTTGATAGGCTAGAACTCGGGGTCTGACTCGAAAATGATGAAGTAGAAAGGGGGGATATCGACGGTGGTGTGATAGAGGATCCAACTATAAGGCTACTCGTCATGAGAGACCTTGAAGAATATGTATCTGATGTGGACGCCATCGTTGAAAGTGAGCTTATTGTGGTCAAAAGATCCGAAGTTAATAGGGTTGAACTCGGCAATGTTGTTGAACCTGTTGGACTTTGACTCGTGGTGATATTTGACTGTGTTGTTGATGTTGTAGTAGGTGTGACAGAAGTACTGGATGAAGAACTAATACTTGAAGAGCTAGAAGTAATGCTGGGTGAAGAACTAGTGGAAGCGGTAGAGGAAGTATTAGAAGAAGCGGTAGTAGAAGAAGCGGTAGTAGAAGAAGCGGTAGTGGAAGAGCTAGACGAAGAGCCAGACGAAGGACTAGAAGAAGAGCTGGAAGAAGAGCTGGAAGAAGAGCTGGAAGAAGGACTAGATGAAGAGCTGGTAGTCGATGTTGTCGTAGCTGTCGCTCCAATAGTAACAGTACCCGAGACAGTCCCTGAAGCCTTGACCGTCGATGTGTACTCCTGTCCTGCGGCAACAATTGAGGTTATGGTGACATAGTCAATCTTGGCCACAGAGTCACAGTTGACACAGCCAGCAGCATTGAGCATCAGGGCGGAATCATAATTATTATCGCCAGAGTCGCAAATGGCAAATACCATGGTCTGGGCTCCAGACGCAGTGATCCCCACGAGGAGAGGAGGGGATGACCCCGGGTAGGACGTGACGCTGTTTGGCGGCGTGATTCCGATCGGGTCCTGAAGGAGTTCAGATACGGCCGTAATTCTGTTGCCGCCATAGGTGGCATACTGTTGGCTGACTAGAAAGATGCCGATAGGATCAGGAGATTCACTGCAAAGTGTCAGTAAGCCTGTAATTACACCAGTCCATACTGACTTGTAAGTTCACATACCCCTCCTCTACCGATGCGAGGATGAACTCGACTTGGACGCCATTATATCCGGGGTCGATGGCGATACCCACAGTCAGGATTGCAGCATTGAATGTATTCGCACCGCAGTATGTGTCAGAACCGGCCGCGCCGTTGTCACTGTATTGATTGCCACCTGGAAGAGCCCCACCGGCGGTCCCAGACGTCAAGATGGCGCCGTTTCCAATGCCACCAAGGCCGTCAGTGAATGTCCCAGAGCTGACGGCCGCTCCCGAAAAGGTCGCTTGTAGAACTGTTATCCCGGGACCATTGAAGATGGCATTGGCAAGGACATTAGCGTCGCTGGTGGTGGTGACGCTGAAACTTCCGCACAAGGGCGCAAATGCTGCAAAGGCAGCAAGCAGGATAGACCCCTTGGAGAATACCTCGAAAGACTGATGACGCATGACAAGACGACAGAGATTTCTATGAAAGGTGGGATGATCTCCCAATGAATAAGAAGAGTAGCGGTAGGAGATAAAGTCATACCAGCCATCCGTGCCGGCCGTTTACAACAGGGCGAAACGTCCTTAAGACCAAACAAGACGTTACACGAGCCTCGAAGTGGATGAAAATGACCATTTGCACCATAGACAGATACCGAGGAGACACACATCACGGCTCGCAGTACCATTGCATCTGTACGTGCAGAAGCAGAGCCGGAGCATGAAGAATGATGGAGCATACCAGCGAATTAATCAAGGTCCATTTTCCTTCATCGCCGTGTTTCGTATCGTTGACAACGTAATGCCTGATTCTTAATCAAATGATGCTTTACACACCCTTCCACCACCAATCATGCAAGGTTTGGGGGGGGGGGGGGGGGGGGATGCGCAAACGAAGCTTCTATCAACGTAGGTACTTGAGCTGGGCGGATTGCATTAATTGTGCAGTTTTTTCACTCGGTTATCGTAATTACAAGAAGTTTAGGCAAGACTTCTTTCTTCATTCCTTCCAAATTCAAGATGCAGTTATTGGTCAGACGCGTGCGAGACGGCTCATCATCGCAGGGCAGGGAACATGAGATTCCGTGATATATTTTGCATTCCTCCGACACTGTACAGCCTGTTTTTGAATACAGATGTGCCGAGACTCCCGTAGAGACTTTGACTCACATGTCCAAGAATCTAGAACGTCCAGGGGCTCCACGGCGACGAGACATCCAGACGGCATCATCCGTAGTTCAATGACACCAAATGAGACATACACATTTTCGTGGAAGAATGAAAAATTACTGATTCACCAGCTTGTGTGAATCGCTGTAGAGCCTTGGATTACTTCAAATAACACAGAACACCATATTTACCCCCCTTCACCCGGTGCTCCATCATCATTGTAAGGATCAACTACAGGTGATATGAGTCTCATCACTATACTTGGGAGCCTGGTACGAGTAACGGGACTTGGGGAGATCACATTGTGAGCTGAGCACAAGAGTATATAGCCTGAGCTTCATTGACGAGTCTGGTGTTGCGCCCGGGATCGTAGACCTGTGCTGGACCTCGCTAAGTTCGCAGAAGCGCATATAAGCTTAGGATGATACTCGAAGACCGACCAAGAGGCAGATATCGCTGTTATCCAATGTCTGAATGTACTACGATGCGATGTAGGGTCCTCACAGTAGCTGCTAGTCATGAATTCGGTGTTACTCCGTCGAAGAGATCAGATCAAGGAAGGAGATCTGGTGCTCCCAAACCTTACCGCGGCAGAGCTCAATAACTATTAATGCCATTTCTTCAGTCTATTCTCTCTAGTCATCCCATCGGTAGAGTGAGGGAGGGTGTTAAGAAACACGACATACCTAGCCCATCGTCTGATATTGTGTTGGGGCTCAAGTGCCTCCTTATACTTACTCTGGTATCCTATGAAGAGTAATCTATAGATTTGATAATAGAGTGTAGCCCTACGAATAGCCGTCTATCAACGACGTCGGTTCCGCCCTGGACAAAATTGACCAAGCCTTGGCTTAGACTGAGCTTGGTCTCGGCATGTTAGCCCACCAACGTGAGCAGGCTTGTCTTGGCTGCTTTATTTCTTGATTCCCCAATGAACTCTGAGTAAGGCTTATGAGTTAGGTGCCGGCTAGGTAATATATCCGGAATTGTCATCGGTAGGTTGACGACGTTCTTTTTTCTTCCCGTCACACAAGGCAAGGTCATCCAATCCCCAAGACGGCACCCAATGGATGAAGACCACGTTCCACAAGCATAAAGTTCCGCTTGGAATTTGGAGTGCTTAAAATGCTTTACCACAGTTGGGTTTTACGAGAGTAACATTGTCCGCAGGTTGAGGATGCAAGTCATCATTGGCACTGCGAGGTGACGTCAACTGCCAAAACCCTTGCAACTCACCGTAGGCACCAGAGCATACAACTAGGAGCAGTACATCCTCTTTTAACAGTTGTCAAGCGCAAACCATACAGAAACCAGGGAGACTATTAGAATGAACAAGTCAAATTCGCCTATCAGTTCCGATGCCGACGCAGCGTTACTATGCGCCGCTGGAAAAGTCGCGTCGCTGGCTGCTGGGAACTCCCAACTATGGCACCAATTTCAAAGGATCCCACTTTTGACGATCACAATGAGCTTAATTCTACTCTCTGTGTCTGCTTTCAAGCTTTTTAACACATCCTGGGCGGAGATAGGGAAGAAGAACAAGGTCACTAGACAAGCGAGACGAATGCTCTGGGCTCTTGAACGTCTTTTCGTCATGTAAGTAACTGAAAGTGTCATTATTATGTCAAATATGGATTGGAATGTCCAAGTAAAATGTCACGGATCGGAAGCTCACGACCTGGATTTCTCAGTGATCTTGCGATTTCTATACTCAAGGCTTGCTCAATTCTTTGGATAGCTCGACAAAAATGTGACGTTCCAAAATCATATTATAACGCCTACGAATACCTCGAGTCAATTGATGGATTTTTCCTCTCACTAGCACATGCAGGCGTTCTGTTGCTCGTTGGAGAACTGGGCCTTCTATTCTGGGGCCAGCCCGGAGAAAGGCAGCAAATACGAAGCTTCTGGTTCATATTACGTCAAGCCGCTCACGCCCTTGGCTGGATGATGGCGGTAGGCGTCGTTGGAATACAAATATCGATTTCAATTATGAAGCAATACCATGTCCTGGGGCTGCCAGGAGCGGGGGACTTACGCCTTGTATCGCAAGACCTTGCTTCAGAAGGCATGATCAAGATCCTGCTCTTCTTTATAGGGCTCCTATTATGTATACCATTCCAATCAGTGGTGAGACGCTTCTTGTTCCCTCATCAGAGAACTGAACAGAAATGAGGGACTGACTCTTCACCTAGGGAGGACCATGGTTGTGGGGCAATTTGCTCCTAACCACCGCTACCTGGACTTGGCGACTCGCCAGAGTCTATGAAAAGAAGGGCCTGGATGAGATTACCGCTCATGTCGTTGCATTAATTGTAGACATTTTCTATGCGAGACTGCCAACTGTTTTTCTCTTGGCCATGTTTACCTTCTTCTTGCGACCAGGTCGATGAACGGTCAGGTAAGCTTGAGCAGGGCAGCTTGTAATTCTTCCACCCCCGATACTCTTTCCAGGCTCTGGTAGAAAATTTGAAGAGTTTGAGACCTCCTTCTCCTTTATATTGCGCTGCGGAATTTTAACCTTTCACCACAATATTCAACATACAGATCCAGCAGGGATAACATCATGACTATATATCAAATTCTCAGACCAGACTTCTCAAGTATGGCATTACTTGTACGCTTTTATCAGAGCTCGAAGAAGGAAACATCAAGTTGATATGTTCGCTGGCACCTTTCCCCGAGATCCTGGTTTGCTTGCTCACCCTCTACGGATGGCTCCCTGAGACCTGTCCACATACCCGTCATGTGTGACGTTGATAATTGGGACATGACAAGGATCTCATCCAACACCGGGTCCGGCCCCTCCTTCTAGGAAGCATTGATGTCAACTGTTTTTTGTCGAAGGACGAAGCTTCTCAAAGTCGAGGCAAGGGTGCTTTGTAGTCGCATGTCATTGCCCGCTACGACGCTGGTAGTCATTTCAATGTTCTCCAATACCGAAAACCCCTTGAAAGAGCTAGGAAGAGTCGAAGACGGTACCTCAAACTCGAAATAGTCATTGCATGATGCCCAAATAAAGGTCAGATGGCGGAGAATATTGGGTTCTCCCCTTCTGATACCACGCGCCTTGTGACGAAAGTCAACTCCCTGAACCATCCGCCGTGCCAATAGCTCGCGCAATCTTCTCCAACATGGCCTGCGCGCCATTAGCAATCCTCGGCGTACTCTGTGGGAACTTGTACCGTCCCTCCAGCCCGTCCAGCAGGATCGACGAGCTTGCCCCGCGAAGAACCTTCATAAAACGGGACCTGGCCGTCGTACTCTCTAAAGGACTCAGCCATGCCAGAGATCGCGGGCCGATGTGCTCTCACAGCTGGCTCAGAACGCGCGCGCGACCTCGTGAAGCCCATGTACAGGCCTCCCCCGCCGCCCGACACACTCGCTGGACCCTTGGCGTCGACGGTGACAATCCAAGGCTCCGGGTGGAGGTCCAGGACCTTTCCGGTGACAAAGTCTGGCGCTTTGAGCAGCGAAGTGAGCGCGGGGTCGGCGACGAGGATGAGGGCTTCGCGGCGCACGTCAGACGGCCACTCTTCGTCCTCTCTGTCGTCATTATCTACAGCTGAGGGTCCCTCGCGGCGAACGGATTCGTGATCCATCCGTCGAAGGCGTTGCGCCTGGAGGCGTAGTCGGCGTCATGCAGAACGATGCAGTCGGCTATGGCGGGCAACGCAAGGGTGTCCGGATCCATCTCGGCGTCATCGTCGTCCGGCTAGGCGTAGGCACGCAGGTTCGCCAATGCGGTGGCCCATTGTGCTTCGTCACTATTAGCAGCGTAAGGGGTGCGAACGACGACGAAGCTCGATTCGTCACTGAGGTCTTGTAATGCACTGTGAAATTGCGTCGATAAGCCGCTGGGATCTTGTGCCTATGAGCGATGGTGGTCGTTGGACGTTGCATGATATCGCGGGGAGCTCATGCGATGCGGGGGCAGGGCAAGGGCAGTTCGAAATGGGCGTTGCTTGGGTTGAGAGGTCGCCGACTGTGTAATTTATCTACGAGTATCTTGAAATGGCGCAGAATCTGACCGTCGGCGAGATAATCTCGACTGCCCGAAACTTCAGGTCGCAACGCCCGTCTTGGGAAGTGTGCTCTGCCTCGCCCCGCAGGACTCCGACATGACCACTACAGCCCCACTACGGCGCCGGGTTCGGGCGAGGTGTAATTACACCGCCGTTCCCTTGGACCTACTCAAGGACCCCACGCTGCATTGCAGGCGATGGTTCCCGTCATGGTCAGAGACGCCGCGCAGACAATGCGCACGGGTATGTGTTTTCAAGGCGGCATCACGTCGGCACTTTTCTGAGAGGCGAATCCTTCCCTTGAGGCATGGATAGAAAACCACTGATTAAGGGAGTGTAAGAATACTGAGGCAACGCGTCCAAAAAGATATGGCCAGCCATTCCCTCGTCAAGCTTCGTACATTTCATTGGCGCACTACTCCGTACACCAAGCCTTTTCGCCTAGGACTACCTAACGTGAAAAAGAGAGGCTTGACAGGCTTGGAAGTCTACTTACCTCAGGTGACCATCTCCAACGTCGGATACACTCGACGTAAAGTATGAATAAGGCCCGCCTGAAAGTTAGGCGAAGCTGAAATGCACCAAAAGCTGACCCTCGACCGACTCAAGCAACACCAAGGAGCAGAGCAGGGACGGCCAGCTGTGGAAAGTAAGAAAAAGTGGGTGTTTCAGCGCATCCTTAGCGCTCGATTCCCCCGCATTTTGGTTCCCTCTTCCGGCGTGGTCGGTGACGTCGTGGCCCGTCGCTAAAATCCCAGCTGAGAGAAAACTTGCCAGCGCACGTGGACTCCGATGGCGCGAGCGGCGACCGGGACAGAGGTAAAAAAAATAAAAATAAAAAGGGCCCTGCAAATTGGTGGTGACTTCGCGAATGCAAATGTCTCATTCCAGGTGGCACGCATAGAGTAAAAGTCTTCCTACTTTCATCGTCAGATTTTGGGAGGAACAGAACTTGTCCTCCATCTCTTTCCCCCCAAGCCATTATTGCTGGTGCGTGCATCTTGGATGAGCACCTGGCATTTGTTTGTAGAAATAATCTATCTAGTCGCTTAATCTTCTTTGTTCTAGAAATCTCTATTCTCTCTTGAAGCTCGCATCTACTCACTCCCCTTTCGTTCATCCTCTCTGGTCGCATTCCCCCCCCCCCCCCCCCCCCTCCGAAATCGCATCATGGCGCCCCCTACCGCACCACTCAACCTCGATGTCGAGGCCATTTCTGGTATCTGCGGGTAAGCGTGACTTTCCAACCCGTCATCAAATCGACCAATTGCATCCTCAATGCTTACTCAATGCGCATAGCTCCATCTCCATCGCCTGCTGGGTCGTCGTCTTCTCCCCCCAGATCCTCGAGAACTTCCGCCGCGGCAGCGCAGACGGTCTCTCACTGCAGTTCATCATCGTCTGGCTCGCCGGCGATGTCTTCAACATCCTGGGCGCTGTCCTCCAGGGCGTCCTTCCTACCATGGTGAGTCACCTAGAAAGAGAACCCCTTGCAAAGCCAAAGCATAGTTGCTGCTGCAGCCAGCCCATGCTGTCATGCATCAGGAACCCCAGCTGACGCTATGACTCCTCTCTACCCCTTAGATCATCCTCGCCATCTACTACACCATTGCCGATATAGTCCTCCTGGCCCAGTGCTTCTACTACAGGGGATTCACCTGGAAGGACGAGGTCGTGCCCCCGGTCCCGAAGCCACGCAACCGCACCGGCGAACCTAACGAGCGGACCGGCCTCCTCCCCAACCCCATCGTCGAACGCGAGCGCCGAGGCTCGGATTGGTCCAACCTCTCCCCCGCCGTGCCCATGCGGCCCGAGGCCGGCATCGGCACCCCGGCCCCTCCCCCGCGACCGTCCACCGCACTCCAGGCCATCGCCTGGAACACTACCGCCGTCCTGATGGTCTGCGCCGCCGGCGTCGTCGGCTGGTTCCTGAGCCGCAAGTACTCCCACGCCGAAGAACCGGGCCACCAGACCAACGATGGCGACGCCCTGACCTTCAACACCCTCGGCCAGGTCTTCGGCTGGCTCTGCGCCGTCTTCTACCTCGGTTCCCGCCTGCCCCAGCTCCTCCTCAACTACCGCCGCAAGTCCACCGAGGGCGTGAGCATGCTCTTCTTCCTCTTCGCCTGCCTCGGCAACTTGACGTACGTCCTGAGCATCTTCGCGTACGACCCGCGCTGCAAGCACGACGAGTGCGCGCCTGGCGAAGCGAACGCCATTTACGGCCGCTACATGCTCGTCAACCTGAGCTGGTTGGCAGGGAGCCTGGGTACTTTGCTGCTTGATATGGGCATCTTTGCGCAGTACTTCATGTACCGCGCGGACGAGTTCGCGAGCGATGACGAGGAGGAGGATGACCAGAGCATTGACGAGGACCAGTGGGATCAGCGACCGCTGCTCGCCCGTGGTGACTCTGTCTACCCATGAGAGAGTCATGAGAGTATTTTTTTTTCCCCGCATTTGTTACTGGTTTTGAAGAATCGCATTTGTGACATTTATCTAAGGCGTCTTTGATACACGGAAAAAGGGTTGGTAGTCATTGTTTTACTATAAAAGTATCTATCGCATTACAGGACTTAAGAGGCATGGGATAAAAGGCTGGTTACTTCACCGCTATGGAAAACAAAAAGGGGGTTGAGCTGGGGGCAGCTCCGAGGAGGGACATGAGTTGGCTGTTGTATGAAGGAGGCAGGAGCCTCAGGAACCTTGCGAGACTCGTTAGAATAGATCTACAAACTATCCCTTTTATCATCACTATCGGACGAGGAGACCTTGTGGCATGTTTGTTGAGACTGCTCACTCTCAATCTCCGCGTCAGGAGTTGGTCCCCCGGTGGCATGTTCATTTTTGTGATTGCTACCGAAGAGAAATGTTATGTCTGCTACCTCTATCTAACTGCTTGGTTCTTCCAAACTGGTGATGTTAGCTCACAACCACCCGAGCCTCTTCCACACAAACGTGGCACCACCCACGAAAGCCGTCACCCCCGTGAACACAATCAACGTCCCATACCCGCTCCCATACCCAAACTCAGCTTCACCCCGCCACGGCGCGCTCTTGACCAACGTCTCGCTCAACGGGCCCGAAATAACGTTCCCAATCCCGCGCCCGGCAGCCAACATGCCAAACACCATGATCGGATCGACGCCCCTACCCTTGACCCTCTCATGCTCCGTCACGGTCTTCATGATGCCCGGCCACGCAGAGGTATACGCGCCCGCAAAGAGGCCGTACACGACACAAAAGAGGTAGAGTACGCCCAGGTTCGACGACAGACCCCATAAGAGAAAGGTACCGACGGTGGCGCCGGCGCTGGCGAGCGCCAGGCACGAGGGCGCCGACCAGCGGTCGACGAGGGTGCCCATCGCCACGCAGCCGACGACGGAGGCGACGTTGATGAGGAGAATCGTGAGGGCTGCGGCGTAGGGGGATGCGCCGAGGGTGGATTGGGCGAAAGAAGGGAGGTAGATACCAGGCAGGAAGAAGCCTAGGGCCTCGATCGTGTTTGCGGCCTGGTGGAGGAGGAACGGGCGGGATAGGAGGAAGCGCATGTTATTAAACGGCCGGGCGTGCGTCGCGTCCGTTGACGTCGTGATGGGCACGCGCGGCTTGATGAAGAAGGCCAGGGGCGCGGTGAGGGCGAAGAGCAGACCGGACCACAGCCGCAAGGTCGTGCGGAAGCCCAGGGTGCCGAGGAGGTATTCCATCAGCAGGGGGAGGAGGACGCCGGCGAGGCCGGTGCCGGACCACATAATGCCGTAGGCGAAGCCCTTGCGGCGGACGAACCACTGGTCAATGTAGAGGATGCAGGGCATGTAGGTGATGCTGCCGCCGACGGCGTAGAAGATGCCCTGGGTGACGACGAGGTGGGTTACCGTAGTTGAGAAGGAGGACATTGCGAGGGCGAAGCACATGATGAGGAGGCCTACGATGGGCGCGTAGCGGGTTTGGCGCGGGTAGAGACGTAGGAGGGCGGTTTGGAGGGGCCCACCTAGGTACATGATTCCCTTTGGAGTGGATGAGTTAGCATTGAGGGATGTGTCTCCTTGTTTAAGAGTTTGAGAGGGAAGTATCGGTAAGAAGAGTGAGGGAGGGGGGATTACCATGGCACAGGTACCGATGACGGCGATGTTGCCCTGTCCAGCGAACGGCGGGTTCGTAGAGTAGTAGTTCTGAAAGACACCAAAGGCAAAGGGGAATCCCCAGACGAGCATCTCGACGGCGAAGCAGGCGGCCAAGAAGAGCCAGGCCTGTTTCCCGCCATCGACGGGCGGGAGGGAGGAGAACTCCTGGCTCGCGCTGTGGGAGTCATTGAGCACGCCGGCGACGCCATTCTCGTCGCCGCTGCTCCCTCCGACAGTACGAAATTCTGCAGCCGCTTTTGAGGGTTCCGGGACCGAGATCTTGCCCCCGACTCCGGCCTCAGTGTGCGGGGTGAGGTACTGGAGCTCCGTTTGCGAGGTAGACATGGTCGCGACTCTTACTAGGCACACCACGGAAAGTAAGGAACGGATGACTCCGCGTTGTCCTGTTTTATTTCCCAAGAAAAGAAAATGTGAAAGGAGATGTCTTTGCAGCTGTTGCAATTCGCGCTCATGTGAGGCCGGCACCTTTTAAGCTTGAAGTCGCTGATCGGCCGGGGGGCGGGGAGACTAGTCTCGGCGGGGAGCCCACTCTACGCCCTCCGATTGACTCGTTGACAAGGGATGACGGGCGGGCTACTCCTTAAATCCACAATGTTGGTTCTGGTCCCTGGAGGGTGCATGCTGATCCGCGGCAGAGACTTCATGTCTTTCAGGTACCTGTCCCGAATATTGATATGTCTGAAGGCTTGATGAAATTGATTATTGGGGTCACCGTCTCTGTTTATCTGCCCCTCGTTCGCTCTGTTCTTCTCTGTGCTTGTTAAGCCGACCACTCTTCCGGTTTTATGTGAGAAGCAGGGGTTTCGTTTTTTTTTTTTTTTTTTTTGCCGATGATTACTGATTTGACCAGTTTAGAAAGTTTCCGAGAGATGCTGTGTTAGAATCTAGAGTGATAACACGAGAGCGCTGACTAGGGCAGTACCAGAGATCCCTTGACCGGCAATGTCGGCCGTTTGTGGCAGTTACTCTCTGCTGAGACACTCATTGGGCCCCCGATATCCGGTGCCGTAAGACCCACTATTCGGCCCCGAAAGCGGCGCGGCCCTTCCGACCAGTGGCGGCCGAGACTTCGAAAAGCCCCCCGTTTTACCCGTTTCAAGCTCCGACGCCCAGGGACTCTGTAGTCAGCCTTGCGTAGGATCTCCCTCGCCAAAGTCTGCCCGATCCCCTGCGTAATCCGGCAAAGATACCCGTCCTCTTCACCGCAAGCCAAGGAGATTTGTCGGCAAATCAGGCCGATGGATACTGGCTAAAGGATGTCGTGTTGGAACTCCACCATCGCGACTCCTTTTTCGTACCTGATACGGGTTTAAGGTACGGTCACATAGCCACCGCCGACCAGCAACCGCTTTGGAAGCAGGCAGTGAACCATCCCATACAAGCTGCATCTCCAGTCCAACCAATCCTCAAACGCACTGCATGCTACGCCTCGCTCCCTCTCATTGGACTCTCCATCTAAAGTGTCACCGTTTCGGATTGGGGAAAAAATCCCACCAAACGCCATGGTAGGCTTCCTCCTAAATCCTGGCCAAATTCCTTGACCCACGTTATTCCCCAGCGGCAAGAATGTTCCCAAAACATCCTTCGCTGCGACACCAGAAGCAGAATGTCTCTCCTGAATCTTTTCCTCGCCCAAGTTGAGGAGGATAGGCCCCAGCCGAGGCTGAGTGCGAAGGGGGGGTAATTGTTTCCCGCGTATATTTCTGAGGCCCGAAAGTAGTTCTTAGACCCTGTAACCTTGCATGTCTAGAGTAATGGCATCCGCACAAACGGATACCACGTCAGATCGCGCTCGGGTTCGGCGCGGCTGTGGCAGTCGTCCCGCACTTTCCATCAACTGGCGACGAGTCAGCGTCGCGCGATCCCGCGCGATCGGGTCCTCCGGGATCTTTGCAAGTTCCAACATGTTACCGAAGATAGGTCAATCTCTCTGCCCGGTGTGCCAGCGCAACAACGTTCCGGGTGTGAGGACTCTTCAGAAAATCAAGGGAAAAAAGAAAGCGAAAATGTGGTAAGACTAGTAAGCCTTACACTAATTGTGAACGGACTTGGATCCATAGCAAAAAGAAAAAAGACAATAGAAACATCGGCTCGTCTTCCTACAGTGACCCGTACACCGCATTGCATAAGGTAGACTCAACTAAAGGACGACTGACACCGAAAAAAAAAAAAAAAAAAAAAAAAAAAAAAAAAAAAAAAAGAGCACATTCATCCCAACTCCCAAGACACAAAAGCGATGCAAGGTCAGCAAAACAGAGTTTCCCATTTCTTGCCTGCCTAATACCACTTCACCGTGCGACGGGCGCCTCGACCAATTCTGCCCATCACCAACACAAACCGCATTCGGTATCCCTTTCCCACTCCGATCCAATCCCCTTGAGAAACTTCTCTTCCTCCAAAACTGAGGTCATTCCACCCCCCGTTTGGCCCCCCCCCCCTCCTCCTCTTCTCCATCCCGGGATCCCCCCAACACGCGTTCAACCGCAGTTGCAACCACGCAACGAAAAGTGTCAGGCGCAAGCCCTGTCTCAGCGCAGTCTGCAGGAAAGGATACCCCGAGCTCGCATCACGTTGCCAGCACAGAACAACTCAACCCGCAAATGGAGGCTACGTAGAGAAAAATGAGAGAACCGTAAGAAAGAAGAGACGTAGATCGGTCGGCAGCTTGAACCCTTCAGACATCCCAAAACCCCAAACACACCGAACCAGAGCCCCCGCCTCTCCCATCCTAGAGTCCCAAGATGGAGGGGACCGCCTGATCTAAGCCTCGTCCATCCTTGCAGTGACCTCCAACCTCCCTCGCAATCAATGTGCCGGTTCGAGGTGACTCTTACACACCGGGTGTCGTAGGTACAGAGGGTCCCCCCTCCCTCGTCCACGGAAACTCAACATGCGGGGACATAAGGTAGACAAGGCAAGGTATGTACTTGTAGTAGCAGAGGCCAGAAAGAGAGAGAGATACCAGGCCTGTCAGCCCACGGTCGTCGATCTGGTCCCTCCGCCATTTTCTTTTGCCTTGCACCTGAGCGCCAAGCTGGGCCTCAACTCGAAAGTCTGCCTTTCATCATGCAGGAAGGAGAAGGGGTGGCCCCCGGACGTACCGTGGGCCACGCACCTCTCAAACTTCGGGTTCCTAGATAACTTTCTTCCTGTGCCCTGTCACTCTTTTTTTTTTTTTTTTTTAGTTGTTGGTTCTTCTTTTAAATAAAACGGTCAATCGCTGTTTGCGCGTTCAATGTGGCTGGGTTCCAGGTGTGACTTTGCTTTCTGTCTCTTGCACACAAGGACCGTCAACTCGACTTAGACCACGACTACAAACCACAACCTTCGTTTCTATCAACCACGAACGAGCAAACGATTTGAAGAGACTCGCTCCGGACTCTGCAAAAAGTCTTCGGATCGAACACATAACACACATCAAAGAACAAGTTCCTCCTTGTAATCCGTAATCACAAACAACGCAAAAAAGCAATGTCGTCCCAGATCGAGTACAATCAGATGCCAAGAGAGCCTGCGCCAGCCGTGCTCTCGGAACACAAGATCAGCTCTCAGCAACCTGTATGTCGCGGCCCCCTTTAGCCACCTCTAAAAAAAGAAATCAGCACTTCACTCTGGTGTTCCTCTTCTCGATAACGCTTTCCACGATGCCCCATCATCGTCCCGCATCGAGTCGGGCACACCAGGAAGCCCAGAGAGTCCAACCAAACCTCCCGACTCCCGAGCTAACCGGAGCCTGAAAAACCTGTAGGGCCCAAATCAGCCGATGACGATGAATCAAACAGCGAACCTGCGAGGCGGCGGCGATGGCGGAGTAAGTGAAACAAAACCACAATCCAATTCCCTCTTCCTTTGAGAATCCTACGCAACCCGTAATCTTGGTCGAAATCAGGAGTAAAGTTGCGCGGATTCAGAAATGTGTTACTAGAGACGCAAGAGATGCTTTTGCCGCCCAGTAGAAGCACACGTTGGCTAACGTCACAACTCTCTTTTGATAGGCTGTCTGCTGCGGTCTCTGCGCCGGCCTCTGTTGCTACGAATGCTGCGAGTGCTGCTGCTGTTGCTGCTAGTTCCGTCTAAACAGTACACCATTTGCGTATCTGTTTCCGAAGGCAGACTAGATAGGAGGAGACCCGTCGTTGCCACGCGTCTTGCCGTCACTTCTTCCGTATAGACCGAACGCTGCTTCGAGATGGAGGCTATCGTAGACGAATCAGACCGAAATGCTCTTTTGGAAATCCGCGAGAGAGGAAGGAGACGAAGAGAGAGGTGGGGATCCGACATGAGATGGGGGCTTGAGCGGTCAAGGGGGGAATTCAGGCGCAAACATATACCAGGGCATTGGATTTCATGCTCGTGACAATGTCACAATTTTGTAGGATTTTCATCTTTGTTGTTGAACAATTACGAATTTTTTTCTCTTTTCTTCCTGAAGTACTCCGAGTTGATTGGCACTAATCTGTCTCGTCAGTGCCCCCGTGACTTGGGTATCCCAATAAACCCTCTCATCTTGCCTCGAGCTGAATCCCGGCTGACATATCTCGTGCTACGTCGACTCTTGCAGCTCTGGTACTATATCAAAATTTCAGGGCGCCTTTTTACAACGTGAATCCAGGCGTTTCTCATCAACTTTTCAATCCATATTTTTACAACTTGGAGCGAACATCCTTGGTAGGCCTGAGGAAAACAGTCAGCCACACGTCCGCAATCATCAAGGCGTTCTGCCTCAGGGATAGGTGAAGAAAAAACGTACTCGGCAATCTTCTCCGTCTCCTTCATGATAGCGGCGCCGAGCTCGGGGGTAACCCGCGAGAACATCTCGTAGGCGCGCGAGCGGACCTCGGGGTGGGCGCCGGAGAGGGCACCAGACACGTTGCTGACAAAGTTCTTCTGCTGGCCCTCCTGGCGGCCGAGGACCTTCCAGAGGCCGAGGGCTTGCTCGTAGTCCTCGGGCTTGACGGGGCCGAACAGATCCGTGACGACGGCGCCGGCCCACTGCTCGTGCGGAGTATTGACGGCCTTGACGGCCTTGTAGGTGAGGGGTTGGAAGGTTGAGGAGTAGTTCTGGGGCAGAGTTAGTTGGTTTCCCATACATAATGTATAGATCGGGACCAAGGGGGACGTACGGGGTTCGCGCCGTAGTTGCCGTTGATGGCCATGGCGCCATCTCTCTGCAGGGGGTTGAAGGCGTTGAGGGGCTTGTTTACGGGAATCTGCTGGTAGTTGACGCCGAGACGGTGGCGATGGGTATCGGGGTACGAGAAGAGGCGGGACTGCAGGACGGGGTCGGCGGTCGGCTCGACTCCGGGAACCAGGTGGGAGGGGGAGAAGGCGGCCTGCTCGATCTCGGCAAAGTAGTTCTCGGGGTTCTGGTTAAGAGTGAGCTTGCCAAATTGTCGGAGAGGCACCTCGCTCTGCGGCCAGATCTTGGTGAGGTCGAAGACGTTCCACTTGAACTTCTCGGCCTGCTCGGGGGTGAGGGTCTGGACGTAGACGGTCCAGCTGGGGTGCTCGCCGCGCTGAATGGCCTCGAAG